TTAGAAAGGGGAGGGGCTACATTTAGTACTGCTACATGAATGGTAGAAGAGGCCCACCTTGGTGGACCAGAGGCTGTTGACAGAGCTCAGGAAGGCAGGAGACTGACATGAGAGCCTGGAGTGTCCTTTGGAGTCACCAGAGGAGTGGAAATCCCTGGCAGAGTTTGCTGCTTTGTTAAACAATTGAGATGACGTTGGCAAAGGGGAAAAAAATTTAAAATCTGAACCATGTTGGGAAAGCCATTCAGCAATTCTCCCTTCATTCATTTGACCTTAAAATATAGTATAAATAAACACTGTTGGGTAATTTGGAAACCTAATAACAGGAGTTAATCCCAGAGAAGCCTGCATAGGGCCCTGGCCTCTGGAACCCCATGGGTTTCTGCTTTAATGGCTGATTTGAGTTCAGGGGAGGAAGCTTCCCAGGTGTCTTTGGTACCCTGTGTATGGGACACAGCTGGGCAAGAGGGTGGTCATGGGGACCTTTTCCAGCCTGGCTCCCAAAACTCTGCGCAATACCAGCTTCTAAGAACCTCGAGAGAGCAGTGGATGTTTCCTCATGTTCACTCCCACATAGCATGCATGAATGGAGGAATGGGGGACAGTTTCAGAGGATTTGGGGGGCCTCTAAGTCCACCCACAGGCCCTGAGAACATTATTCCTGTGTTCCCAAAGATGCTTCCATTCCCATCCTGAATCAACTCAAGTCCTTACCGTGGTTCAGCTCTCCTATGGTGTACCAACCTCCTTGCTCAGCCCATCTCCCACTGTGTGTCTGAAGAGGATTGGGGGGTGATGGCCCAGAGTCCCTTGCAAACAGGAGGGTTTGATTGGCCCCATGTGCCTGGGAGGTCCCACTGATCAGAGCCCTAGACCCTAGCATTCTGTGCTAAAAGCAAAAGGAAAATTCAGAAGATTCAAGGTGGCATGAAATGGACTTAAAGATATTAACAGAGGTGATTGTGATGTACATTCTTTACATGAGGCACGGAGTGCAAAGATTTCTGCCAAAGCTACCATTGTTCATATTTCTTGTAAAACTCCAGCCCCTTACAGCATTTTTGACTTCCAGGCGCCTTTTTTTCTTAATCCAAAGGGTTCTTTGCTCTTTACCAAACAATTTAGGCCTTGTTCTCATTTTTCACTTGAGATGTTAAAAAATGCTCTTAGGAAACAGTCCTGCCATTCAGAAATTCCAAATATATCCATGAGCCTTTATTATTCTTCAAGGTTACAGGAATTTTCCTTGGAAACTATTTGAGCAGAATTTTTGCCTTTCATGTCTCCTCCAGCTTTTAAAATGAATTTTGGTAAATTGAAGCCTCTGAGCTTATATTTACTTATTTATTTATTTTGCCAAGTTTAACCTGTTTAAATATGCTTTGTCGGGCTGGGGATTTAGCTCAGTGGTGCCTGTGCCTGCCTCGCAAGCGCCAAGGTCCCGAGTTCAATCCCTGGTACCAAAAAACCAAAAAAACCCAAAATGCTTTGTCATTAAAAACTGAAAAAAGGAAATTCAGGCCCTCCTCCTGAATTTCCTTGTAGAAAGTAACTGGGCAACATAGTACAGTACGCCATTTGTTACTTTCAGCATCAGGCTGACATTGAGATTGAAAGATGAAGCCAGGTGAACATAAAAAGACAGTTTTTGACATCTCTTTATACAACCTGAACAAAACCTGGAAAGCTGTTCCATCTTCTAGTCCCAGCTTTGTCAGTTAGACCCCAGAATATGCCAGACTTTAGGAGCTCTTTTATCTCTAGGTGAAGACATTCCTCCAAAAAGAATGAAAATATTGGATGTTGGCAGCCAAAACAAAAGTGTGTGCATTTGAGACACCAAGGAAGAATGCTGTTGGCCTCATTCTTGTCTGACATTTGGGAGTGGAAATGATGGTGTCAGTGCAGTAACCTCTCAACCCAGAGCCACTTCTTTATGTAGCAATCTGACCTGGCCAAGTACAGCATGTGGTATGGAGGCCCAAAGTCGTGCTGGACTCTCCAAACATCTGGGACACAGCTGGGGGCCCAGGAGGTGGAACTGAGTCAACATGTCTCCTGGGAATCAGAGTGGCATTTTTGCCAGCTTGAGAACAAGCTTCACCGAAGGAACCTCCAGAAGACGTATGAAAATGAGAAGCCATTTCTCCTCGAAACACTGGTCCATGGCTCAAAGGAACATCTTCCTGGATTTTGAAGATGCTCCATGTGCTTTCTTTGGTTAGCTGTGACTGACCAGGTTTAGTGGGAAGTTCACAGATTTGGGAGCACATGATCAGATGTACATCTACAGACACATACTTTACTCTTTAAAAAGTGCATAATAATGACTGCCTTGCCTCTTTGGGGGTTGCTGTAAAGAATAAGCAAGTTAATGTCTATAAAACCCTTTGGTAACCAGCAAAATGCCATCCATGAGTCAGAGGTGATGACATTATGACTGTCCAGGATCTGCACTGACTCCTGTGCTCTGCACAGGGGCCCTGGCCTCTAGTCAGTTTGCTTCTGGCCCATACTGACTGAGACATTTGGCTTCATAGTTATTAATTAATTAATTTATTTATTTATTTTTGGTACCAGGGATCAAACTCAGGACCTTGCGCTTTCGAGGCAGTTGGTGGAACCACTGAGCTAAATCCCTGGACTAGCTTCATAGTTATTTTTGAGGTCCATCTACCTGTTTTGGTCTCAGTCTCTCCACCTGCTTCACCACAGGACCCTGGCTGAAGTTACCTCACTTTTCTGTGTGTCAGCTACTACGTCTAAAAATGGGTGTGGGAAGTCAGCTTTCTGCTACTGTCACAAAATACCTGAGATAATTAGTATATAAAGAGAAAAGGGTTATATTGGCCCACAGCTTGGTGGGGCAGACCCAGTACTTTGGGCTCTTGTGGGCATGCCTGATGGCAATGTCAGGGAGAGCTTAGTGGAGCAAAGCCACTCACCTCATGGCTGCGATACAAAGGAGAGGGATGAAGAGACTGAGTCCCACAGTCCCCCTCATGGGCATACCTCCAATGACCTCAGGACCTCTCACGAGGCCCCACTACCTTCCAATATCACCAAGTCTTTAAAACACAGGTCTTTGGGGACATCCAACATCTAAGGTACAATCTCTCTCAGGGAGATCCATCAGAACAAATCCAGTTCATTCACTTGGTCAGAATGTATTGAGGGTCTATTCTGTGCCCGGCACTTAAGATAGAATCATGAATAAAATAAAACTCCTGACCTAGAAGAAGAGAGAGAGACAAGTGATCATTCATTCTAGGACAATACAGTCAGGTTACAAAAGGAAAACAGGGACAAGACCATGGAGCCAACCACGAGCCCTGCCCTAAAGACTGGGGTTAGAAGGGATCTTTCCAACTTATGTTCACCAAGGCCTCTACAAGAGTGTGGTATGCGTATCTAGGGAGAAATGGGTAAAATGTGAACATTCACTCTTCCCAGCCAGGGTTGGTCACCCACTATGCATGGAGCCATGGGGGGCTCTGGGTGGGGATCTCCCACTTTTTGCAGCATTCTTAGACTTACCGTGAGGGGTTGTTCTGTCCCAACGTGGAGGCCTTCTCATCCCTGTACTGATGATAGGATGATGTCACAACTATATACTTTGCTAACGTGACCCCTGGAAATCATTTCTCACTCAGCAATTGTGATAAAGTAGTGGTGAATGATCAACCTGAAGCACACAATGGCCTAAGGTTGACCTTCCCTGACTCACCAACATGGTGACTTCCCAGATGCACCTCCAAGCTGATGGCGGGGCCACGTCCTATCCTCTGGCTGCAGCTAAGGGGGGAACATCAACTGGACTCTTATCATATGTACGGTGGGCAAGGGACATGGAACAGGTAGGTCCCACAGTGGCAAATTATATGGAAATTCATTCATTCATCCTTTCCTTTCTTTGTCAAATAGAATAGAATTAATCAAAAGAGCAGGACTTGATGAAGTATAACCAGGAAATTGCAGCTGTTGCATCTTTCTTTCGTTTTCTCCCATCATTCCCTTTCAACCTGCTCTGCCAGATCTTTTTAATCTGGTCAATACCCAAGCAGTCCCAAGACTGTCCAGCCCCTTTCATGTATTAATGAGCTGTTAGAGTAGCAGAAAAGCTCAGTCCAATATACATTTAAAATGCTTCCCATAAAATTTCAAACTATTTCCCTTTCTGCTCATCTCAGGCCTGACTCACAATCAAAAAGATTGCACAGTCTGTCTGGCATTACTGCTTTGTCTCTTGCCTTTCACTAGCTGCTCTGGCTCCCAAGGTATGGCAGTGTGGGGGAAAGAATGAAAAGAAGTAAAAATATAATTTTCCTTAGTGTGGCTGCTGTAACCTAGACATTGGTCTTCTCTGAATACAAATGCTGGGATCCTGGGCCTGTCTTTTTTGTTGTTGTTGTTTAAGTAAAGTTTTACTAATGTGTTAATATTTCAGCAAAGTTATTGCAACAGGTTTAAAAGGCAGACAGACATGCTATTACAGGCTATAAAGTAATAAAGGAGTTTTATACAATTAAAATATTACACAGACCTATGAGATTTACTGAATAACCACCAGATGCAGAAAAGAAACTAAATCTAGTATCAGCGCCTACAATAGCTCTGAAAATAAAACTTTTAACTGCATCATTCTTTCCTAATGTATTTCTTAACTTTCTCATATGCAGTGCTCTTAACCCCCCCAAAGAATGAAGGGCATCAGAAACCCAATACTAAGATCATACAGACAAAAGAGGAGCTAGAAATATAGACTCAGACTTGGGGGTTTAACTTGGAAGTCACTTCACTTAACCAATCATAAGATTTCTGTGCACTGAATACTGTATATGAGGAGTCTATGAATCACGTTTGCAAGTAGGGTTAAAAATTAGCAATATACAGTATCATTCCTATCAAATTTCTCTCTCATAAGTTATAACAAAACTATAGTTACAATATGTAATATGCTTGCTTATTACACACTCAGGGACACAGCAAAGACATTTACGTGTTTGATGGTTTAGCATCCACTTTATTGTGCTTACTTATTTGTGTAATGAATAAGCAACACAGACCACATCTTCCCAACATTCAAAGTATTGCAATAATATAAAAGTCTCCAAAGAAATTAACTGAAAACTGCATTAAATACTGCTTTAATTAGGAATAGTTGCTATAATGAGACAAATCACATTATACATTATTTTCTTCAATGAGCTTTGGTTTGAATCAATCTTAGGATTTGAATCATAGCAAAATGTGTAGTTCTTTGAAATCTGGGAGCTGTACTAGCAAAACCACAGATATACATACCCCCACCTGGAACAAAGCCTTTTATCAATTTAGGGGAGTAAGACTAAACACTGCCTAAAACAGGACTTATTGAAGTCAAAAGCCACCCAGGGAACTGGCCTGGGGAATAAGCTGGTACTGGTACAGGTAAGAAACAAAACTGCATTGGCTGACCAACTGCATATTTTACTAAATGGCTTTGAATTTAAAAAATGAAATGCTTCATTGTGTTTTCTCAGAAACTAATCAAAAGATTACAGAGTCCTATACAATTTGGAGACACAAAGTGGGTGCTGAGTGACTAGAGGTCACTTCAGGCATGGAATTTTAGAAAGTTAGTCCTTGGAGTAAATGGCACCATGGCTCTGGCAGCAGATACAAAGGAATGATGCTCTGGAGAGGAGGTAGGGACACTCTGTGATCAGTCAGTGGTCAGATGAGGGTCCCAGTGGGAGATGGGATCTTTAAATTGATGGTTTATCTTCCACTGCTCATGCCTCTGTCTTCATAAATGGTAATTTCAATAACTCGAAGTCCTCTCTCGATGGGGTCTGTTAAGAGGAGGCCTTGGGGAGCATATATCTTCTCATTCTGTTCTTGAATATATTTGGAGACTTTCTTCAGAACCTTCTCATAATGGTTTTCCATGCATAAGAACATGGTGTATGCTGTTAAACAAGCCAAACAGCCTTCAAGATAGGATTGGCCCCCGAGCTTCTCTGCCTCAGCCCAAAGGTTATTTAGAGTTCGCACAGTTTCTTCAAACTGCTGCCTATCAATCCGGTTCTCCAGCTCCGCGCGGAACTTGGTCTGGAACTGGTAGCGTGTGCCACTGCTGTATTCTCTCTGGATGAACACTTTCCCGGACACAGGCGCCTGCTGCGGCCTCATGGCGAGGATGGGACCGTCCGCGCTGTGAGTTTGGGAAGGGGAAGCAGCACGCGTCAGATCCCACCTGCCAGCCCCTCGAACCTGCCCGCTGCCCGAAGAAGCTCACAGCCTCCGCCTCTACCTATGCTGCTGCAGCTGACCATCAGCCACTACCGCGGACCCAGGCCCCGAGCCCCCCCATTCTGGGTCGGCCCCCTGGGCCTGTCTTTTGCAAGGCACTTAAGTGGGTCCATGTCCTGTGCCCTGCAGTTCCTGGCCTTAGAAAGAGAGCCTTCTCCGAAGGTGGACTCTCCAGTGCCAATAGCACATCGCACATGGCCATCGAATGCCAGGTTCTCCTCACCCTGGCTGTACTCCCATCAAGAAGACCCAAGCTTAGTTACCATCCTCTGAGCTCACATAGCCCATGGGAAGACACATCTTGTTCTAGCAAGTTCAGAAGTACAAGCCTTGCCCAAGAGCTTCTTGTATAGTGGCAGCCAGAGCAGCCATGGAGACACTGCCATTCAGCAAGCATCTGCTTTGGGTTCGGCTCCTGGCCAATGCTCCCACTCTGAGTGATATCAGGAAACCACCTTGACTTGTTCCCACTGTGAGGGAGGCAGCCAGTGCATTCCCTCAATGAGAGGAAAAGAAAAACAAGTGCATAAAACTTTTTACTAGAAATTCCTTACAACACCCCCCAAACTGTATCTACATGTGTGTCTGTCTATCTGTTGTTTTGGATGGCTCTCGACAAGTCCTTCAAGGATGGTGAGCTGCATCTCTTGTCACACATGTCAGTTTTGTGCATCAGAAAAATTCTCAAGACATGGGAAAATTCCTAGTTAACTTCCTGTCATTCTCTCATTCATAATATTATTTAACAAATATTTATCCTGTGCCAAGGGACCATGCCACGATGCACCCCATAAAGGGCAACACTGACATGAACTCTTCCCTCTTTAAGGTGAGCTGGGGATTCCACCAATTTCTGGTTCCTTCAAGCCTTTCAGGACATCTCAGTTGGAAGAAGCCAACATCCCATCAACCGGCTCACAGCTATTCTTCCCTAGTGCATGACTACAAAGACAGGTGTTGCTTCATGTTTGTAGCTATGGTCTTAAGTGCTCAAGATCCTAAAGTGCTGTTAAGTCATCTCTGATAATTTAACCATCAGAATTATTTTAGTGTTAAGTATATTTTGTGGATATCTAATTCTTTAGCAAGTACAAACTTAATTATGCTCGTATTTTAATACTAAACAGACTCTTACTGTAAGATGGAGATGGTTCCTTGTCGCCAGAATATCTGCTAGATCATACACCATTAAGTGACCAAGCTGGATTCAGAAATCTCTTTGTTTATTTGTAGATTAGATGATGATTAGATGATGGTTTTATGTACACATTTGTGTGTGTAAGTTTTATTTTTTGTCAGTTTTCTTTTATTAGGTTGAATTTTCCTGATATTTTCCCTTTTATCCAAAAAAGGGTAACTCAATGGGTAACTCATGGAAATGGTCAATTTAACTGGATTTTTAAATGTATTTTTAAAGACCCAGCTCCTGTTCTTGGCACTGCTAATCACAAACATTCAACTCAGAATGCCTGCCTTATTCCTGAAGTTGGAGTCTATGTATTTTGGTTTTGTGGAAATTTTGTTTTTCATCTAATTAAACCTTAACAAAGATGAAAAGTTTTGATCTTGTGCAGGAAAAACACCAGAGAATCTTTATTATTGCCAAATATTATATTTATAAAGTCTTACATTCTAACCTCAGTTCCCTGATGTAATACATAAATCTCATTAACCTTATAAATATGGTTTTTCAAGAGCAAAGAACTTCTCTCTTTCTTTATTATGTCTAATTTGCATACTGGCACATAGTCCAAGTGTTGGCAGGTAATATTTTAAAGGGCATCAAAGTATAAGAATAACTACATACTTACAGATGTGTTGTGAAATATACCCAGTTAGTCACTTATTATTTGAAAGGCAGAAAACTAGGCACCTAGCAACAACATGTGCTCACTCAGGATCAGAGAAAAGGCATTTACAGCTTGGAGGTATTGCCCCCAGTTTGGAGGAATACCAGGCTAGTGCATTTGATTACACAAAAGATCTTCACAAGGAGGCTGGGCTACAGATTGTCCATACTTATGCTGAGTGACAGCAGTGACACCCCAAAGGCTGGCACTTGGTAGCAGAGGAGGCAGGGCTAATGAGAGTCTTCCTGGCAAGTGCTACATCAGTCCTGCACAGGCAGCCCAGGGCTCCACTTGCACACCAGGCTTTCCATTCTGAAACGCTTGTCCTTCTTCCCTTCCTTCCTCTCTGAATGGATTTCTAGGACAGGAGGCAACCCCCTTTCCCTCCACAAACACAGAAATAAGAATCCAACACCTACCCCACCAGCAGCGGGAAGAGCATCAAATACAGAGCTCGCATGGGAATCCAATCAGACTGCATTTCCAGAAGGTTCTATTCTCACACCAGTAAGGATGAATAAGAAGTAAAAGGAGACAAGCCAAACCGATGATGAAGAGAGGAAGAAAAGAAATGTTCAAAGCTCAACACTTAGCTGGGAAGAAATTGCTGGAGGAACCCTGCAAGTGCTTGCACCTGGGTTAGCATAGTTGGGGGATCCTGGTGACATCACCGAACCCAGTGGCAAAGGTGGGATCTCAGACTGAAGCTCCCAGCAGCTTCCTTTTGGGCGGGGAGTTTAGCACCTAAGGAGTGTTCCAGAAGCAGCATGTTCTCTGGAAGCAGGCAGGAATTCGCATACCGTCAAGTAATCTCTTGCTCTCAAGCCCTGGTCTCTGTTGGTCCAGTACAGGGGTGTAATGCAGTGCAGTGGGGATTTGTGTGCCTGCAAAGAGCCAGGGCTGGAGGGGAGGTGGATTTTTCTCTCCTTTGGGGGAACAGTGGACTTTCTCTCTCTCTCTCTCTGTCCTTTGGGGGATGGGAGAGGAGAAAAGAAGAAAGGGGGAGAGGGAGAAAGACCTGCCTCTCTGCCTGGAGACCTTGTGTGATGGCTTGAGCGTCCTTGGCCATAAATTGAGCTGATACTTCCCTTACCCTCTCCCTGTAGTAGCTTGAGAAGCAGAATCCAAACAAGATAACACGGGAAAGAAACATTCGGGAAACTGTGAATCACTGCCTCACAGGGAGTGCTTTTGCACACAGGAATAGAAACCCAATCAAGTGAGCAAAAAGGGGATGCTGAGTTGGAAGGGGATTGGATACTCTCAGAAACTGTGGCAGGACGTGAGGCTGAATTCAGAAAGGAGATCCAGAGAGCCAGGATTTCAGAAGCTCACTCCTGGAGCCACTTTCTGCTTATCCGTCTGTTTTCATTTCTTCCTGTCTTCCTCCCCTCTCCAGACTGGTTTTTGCTGTCCTAAATCACAGGGGCCAGCATGGCTGCCCCTCCGTTCAAAGCAAAAGCCCAGTTTTGAGTCCTCATTCAGTTGGGTGTGGCCTCTTAGACCAGTGAGTCACGAGGCCGGGCAGGGGTCACTAGGACAAACTCAGCCATTCCTTATCTAGTCCTGGGGCTGTGTCCCAGGCAGGTACCAGGAGAAGTGTGTTCTACAGTCTTCCTAATGGTGGGATCACAACAGCCAATGGGAGGGGAAGGATGGGATTGGAGGGTCTCCTTCTAGAGTACCATCTGGCAGTCTTCCGTGAGTTCCCTTACATGGATGGGGGCTGTGGCTGGGCAGAGCAGCTGAGCAAAGTGAGCAAAAGTAGGCACAGAGGGCCCTGAAGCTTCCTGGCATGCTGGGGTGCTGCTGCATTTCTCACCAATGAATGGGGCTGCAAGTCATAGGTGTTCTTTCAAGCAGACTTAACCCAAAACCTGATGGTTCTGGATCTGCATTTCTGGATCCCTCTTATTTTCTGTCCTGCTGCCCTTTGGGCCAGCCCTGTACCTGTGGCTCCACCTGGGATGGCCTAGTGAGGCCTGCCGTGATCACCCCTGAAAGGATGGGCTTGGGGGATTGCTGAACCTGCCCCCCTCTTTCCTTCATTGCTGTGGCCTGCAATTGCCCATTCTCCTCCCACCTTCAGAGCTGTGAGAGGGTTAGCAGGTGTTGGAAGCAACTTTGTCCCTTTTGAGTCAACCTCTATCTGGTGAGGCTCCAGCTTCCCCTGTGCAGCTGGCAGCTCCTCAAGTCCTGAGCAGCTTTCCCGAGAGCAGTCTGGGGTCCAAACAGGCCTGGCCTGTTCGTGTCTTTCCCTGAGAGCAAGCTGCTCTTCCAGTGATGTACAAATAATCAGATGCCTTGGATGGACTGCGATGGGCTGAGGGAGCAACTCTGACAGCCTGGCAAGGAAGTGAAAAGAGAACTCTGAGTTGAAGACACTGCCTTGATTCCGCTCAGCTGTGCACCTTCCTTCATCCCCTCATCCACCCTCCCCAGCTATGAGGTATAGGTGGCCAGGATGTAACTGGGAGCAGGAGACCTGTGCCCTGTGCTGTGGAAGATTCTAGTGAGGACAAGGACAGGTAGACAAGTAGAGGGGATATGCAGAACACCAAGCCTGTCCCTTGCCAGAACTTAACTGGCCCAACACACCCCTGCAGGATTTAACCCTTGAGGATCAACCCTTACAAAGCCAAAGAGGTAAAGAATACATGCTAGTTATTTAATGACAATAACTAGCACAGTTCCCATCAGTTTTCTTGTGTCGATCCATTTAATCCCCACATTATGAGACACGAGGCATACTATGTTATTAGCTTCCTTTTACCAGAGAATACTGAGGCACACATGGGTTAAATAACATGCCCAAGGTCACACAGCAAGTCAGTAGCAAAGCCTGAGCTCAAACCCATGAAGTTGCTACACATACTTCCTCCCAGTTATCTGCCTCTTGTGTTGGAAATGAAACACTGAAGACGAGAAGGATCAGTCTGTGTCCTGTGTACCCGTGAAGATTTGCGTGACTAAAAGATAGCATTGGGGGAAGAAATGTTTTGAAAATCTAACCATTGGAAAAGCAAGCCT